GAAGCGAATATCATCTTCATCAGGTGCATTTTCGATGGGCAGGTGCCAGCCAAAGAAGCGAGCACCATCGGCATCAGCTTGGCTGCTTCTTCAACAAGTGCCCTATGGAAGCGAATATCATCGTCATCAGGCGCATTTTCGATGGGCAGGTGCCAGCCAAAGAAGCGAGCATCATCGGCATCAGCTGGATGTAGCTGTCCGCGCTGAGCAGCATCTGCATCACGTGGACTCTCGCTTGGCAGGTGCCCCCTCCATAGAAGGCACCAGCAGGGCTGCTTCTAGTAAAACTGGCCGAGGATCATCTGCATCAGGTGGACTTTCGTTTGGCAGGTGCCCGCCATGCTTCTTCTACCACTGCCGAGCGTCATCTGCATCAAGTGGACTCTCGCTTGGCAGGCTGCTTTGTGAACAGGTGTCAGAAGTTCACTCCACCATAAACTCTCAACTAAAAACTCGTTCTCCTCAGCACCAAGACTGTCGACCAAGTAGATCAGAGGTACCCGCAGCAAAACTCAAACTCAAGCTGTGCTCGCCAGACTTGCAACAACCATGCCATGAGTTTGAGCGAATTCTTCCGCAGGAACAGGCATGCAGAGATTGTTGCGAAATCCACACGATGCTTCCTGAGGGAGAGCAGCACCCGCTGCCTTTGGTGCATGACGCGACAAAACTTGCGAACAAGCGAAATGTCAACAACAAAATCTGAAATTTGAAGACCTAGACAGTGAACAACGTCATGGTGACATCTAGGAAGTACTATCAGCATCACCAAAATCTCGCTATTGCCGCTATTGTCAGGGTGACCAACGAAAAGCACATCATGAGCATCAGCGGGACTTTCCAAACCAACCGAAATCGTACCTACCCTGGTCGATCCACGGAGAATAAGTCCGACATCCCTGCCGCCCGAAACCTATGTAAGCGCGGCACCGTGCGGCTCCGGCTCAAGTAGCTGGAGGTGGAAAGTTCCGACGCACTTCTGCTTGAAGTCAGCGAAGACTGCACAAGGAAGTGCATTGCATCTGTTTCAGCCAGCACAAATCAAGGTCTAGAGTAGCTACCACAATGAATGAGTAACTAAATGGCATGGGCAGGATCAAGATCCAAAGGATGGGGCTTTAAACAAATTTGGAGATTCTGAGCTCATCGCCTGACTCGAGAAAAAGGCGAGCGAACGATCAGACCGCAAAAAGCGCTTGAAAATCCTCAAATCCTGCGACCAGCATACGACAACAGAGATATTTTGGGTTTAAAACGCAAAGCCCTAGAGAAGCCAGGGGTTTAGGGCTTGATTCCTGGGCCGTAAATCGACGTCCTGAAATCTCAAGCTGCGACATACCCTCATGTCCTCAACAACTGCCTTGCCCGACTTTTGGGGCACCGGGACGTCGTAGTTCCAGGAGAGTGGATCTGGGTCGAATACAAAGTGTGTTTTTGTTCATGTTGCTGCGTTAGACTTGACTGTGCATTGCTGTGTTGTTACCATGTTGCTACGGAGATCATCAAAGCTATGATCCGTGACTCTGCTGTTGCTGCGAGCCGTGATGATAATTCCTCCTGTTGCATTTCGTTGATGCTGCCCTTTCCTCGCTTGGTTGCGTCAGCATCATTTTGGCCGGCGCTGATGCTCCTATCCTCAGCCCTGAACCCGAACGCTTATCAATTCACTCCAGCATCATTCTCGTCGATTTCTTGAATGCTTCGGGGGCACCACCCAACCGAGCCTGGCGCTCTCAGAACAGCACATTCTTGACCGTAGCCATGGCACAGCTGTTGATCTGATTACGATCATTGTTACTCTATCATTCGTTGCACCAATGATTGCGAACGACGGGTTTGGGGAGTTGTTAAGGTTGCAGGTTCCAGCCAGACACGGATTCGTCGCCAATCCGACAGGGCACCAACATCAATACCCAAGCAACTGCCCACGAACGAATACTTGGCACGTATTCTCGAACCCTCTTTACTCCAATTTCCAGGGCAGACTAGAGTAGTATCTTTTCTATTACGAAAGATCATTTGTTTTTCTTTCTAAATTGTCATAGTACCTTGCTGACAAAAACATCGCCTAATCTCCCTGTTTCAAAGCTCTGAACCCTGAGCATGCCTCCATCCTCAAACCCTCCACCGGCAGCGGAATCTGAAACATAATATAGGGGCCTTAATAATTA